CTAGGAAGTCAAATCCTACCAAATATAAAACGATGATCTAGTATGATTAAGTGGGTTTCTTTTTTTCAAGAATGTAATGTTGTTTTGAGTGACTAATAATGCATTAATGTATAATCACCCTATGAAGAGACTAAAGGAGAAAAGTCATAGGATCCTCTCAATGGTTGTGGGAAAAGTAATTGACAAAATTGACTCCCCTTTCGAAGGAAAATGCTCAGCAAGGTAGGAATGGGACAGTTTCACTTAGCTGATAAAGCACATCTACAAAAAAACTCCCATTGACAGTACTCTGAATGCTTTTACCCTATCATCAGAAGCTAGGAAAGGCTGCCCTTTGTCTCCACTTGTCTCCACTCAACATCTTCCTGGATCTTGTAGCTAATGTCAAAGGTAAAGAGAACTAATAAAAGACATACAGGTTTAAAAAGAAGGAAGAGTGCCTTTCTTGCATAGAAAACACGATCGTGCTTGTAGAAAATCCAATGGAATCTACAAAGAAACCGGAAGAAGGAAGAAATGAATTGAGCGAGTTTCCCGTGTAAAGGTCAATATACAAAAGGCAATGGCTTTGTCTGTGTCCTACCAAATAGCAACACGTGTATAATGCACACGTGCAATACATGTACCCGTACAAGGCCTTTAAGCCAGGCTAGATCCTGCACCCACCTGGTGTGCGTCTCCTGTCCCTGGACCTGCGAGATCATTCACAGACTGCTGGGTAGTCAGCTGCAAGTCTTCCTTAGACAAGAAAGGCCTGAGGTGCTATGCGGACCATTGTTACTCTCTGCAGAGGGAGAAGAATGAGAAATACAAGGCATGCAGATGAAAAGGGAAGTAAATTAGCTTTATTCATAGAATCCTGATTCAGAGAAAACATTATTGCGTATGTAGAAAATCTTAAGGAACCTACACAGGAACTTCCAGAAGGGAGGTGATAGAATGCTGTATCTGTGTGCTCATAGCATGTTCTGTAAACTACCAATGTACTATGGAAAAATAAACTTCACAAACCCCATACAGTCCTTATGAATAAATTAGCAAAAGCTGTGGAAGACCTATAGCCACAAAACTGTATAAGGGTGGTTGTGAACTTTCTCTTCAAAGTCCAGAAAAGAGATATTATAGGCTTTGTGGCTCACAGATCTCGGTCACATATTTCTCTGTGTGTGTGTGTGTGTGCACGCACGGGCATGCGTGCGTGTATATGATACAAGTATTTTCAATTGTTAGCACGGTTCTTAGCTCTCTGGTCTTACAAAAACTGGCTATGGGTTGAATCTGACCCAGAGGCCTCGGGGTTGGCTGCTAGTACAGAATATTGCTGAGAGAAAATTAAAAAGGCCTAAATATATGGAGATATATACCATGTTTGTGGCCTGCAGAAGTTAATATTGGTAAATTGTCCATTTTGACTAGGACTCTGAAACCTGACCTATGGAGTTATCCCAAGCAATGCTGGTGCCCTCAGGGCATAAGGGTTTTCAGGGCAGGGAATCCTGTGCCCACCTGATGGGCGTCCCCTATGCCCGCACTGGAGAAGACAGATCCCAGCCAGCTGTGTGGCTTGCTGCAAGATGCAATTACAAGAGAAATCTGCCGTGGAGATGGAGTGACAACTGGTGGTCCCTGCCTACGTCTCTGAGACTGAGGCCCAGTGTGGTCAAGGCCCACTTAGAAGTTGAACCGAATTATGGGGCGCCTGGGTGGCTCAGTTTGTTAAGCGACTGCCTTCGGCTCAGGTCATGATCCTGGAGTCCCGGGATCGAGTCCCGCATCGGGCTCCCTGTTCAGCAGGGAGTCTGCTTCTCCCTCTCACCCTCCCCCCTCTCATGCTCTCTCTATCTCATTTTCTCTCTCAAATAAATAAATAAAAAACCCTAAAAAAAAAAAAAAAGAAGTTGAACCGAATTAGTCCTCCCAGAGGCCAGTGCATGTGCTCATCACCGGTGTGCCCCCAGCTAAGGACCTTAAGGACTATTTAAAAAAAGGACCGGGTGATGTGCACGTGAGGAGGAGTCACCAGGGTCTGATGGTTCAAGGCTGGATCTGTAGAATCAGACAGCTTGGGTCAAGCCCTGGCAGGGCCACTACCACCTGTGTGGGCTGAGCAGAGTTCTAGGCCTTCCATGTGGTTTTGCCAAACTTGCAAAGCTAAGAGAAGAGGCTCTGCCTGCCAGCAAAGGGTGATGCGGGGGGCGGCACCCGGGCAGGTCAGAGCCCCGGGGAGCTGCCTCAGAAACCAGCCCAGCCTGCGGGCTCAGGCCTTCCCAGGGCGTCGCCGAGGTGCCGGCCTCCAGGATGTGGGGCGGCCCCACAGAAGATCCCAGAGGTCGGGGCCCTGGGCCCTGAGCTCCCCGCGGGCGGCGGCGGGGGGACGGGGGGCTGGCATAACCGCTGTCCTCCGCGGCGGTTGGAAGGACGCGGCGGGCGACTCTCGCGCCCGCCGCTGCCGTGGCCCGGGTCCCTCGGCCCCCCGGGGCACTGGCCCTGCTGCCGCCTCCCTGGAGCCCGGGGTCCCTCAGTTCCCGGGGCCGGCGCCCCCGCTTCGCCCGCATCCGGCCCTACCTGGCCCTGCCGCCGAGCCCGCTCCCCGCTCGGAGGCTCGGGGCCCCGGTACTCGGGGGCGACGCGCGCTGCCCTCGGGGCCCGGAGAGAGAGCGCGCGGAGGTCCCAGGGCACCGAGGCCGCGGCGGCGCCCGGACGCAGACGCCCAGGAGGCCGGTCCCGGTTCCGGGGAGGCCAGCCCCGCCGTCCTGGACGGTCCCCACGAAGCGCGGGCGACACCCGGTGCCACCGGCTGCAGCCCCGTGCGCGCAGCCCGAGGCGACCGAGTCCCGCGGACTCGGACCGTTGCCCTCGCCCTTTGCCCTCACTGCCTTTCTCTCCAGCCTTCCGTCCTCTGCGCCCCCGTTCTCTGTTCCACCCCACCCCCCCGCCCCGTCCCCGCCCGTGGCCCTCCTGAGCCAGGGGGCAGGGCGCGGGGCTCGGATGCTAGGACACCTCGCTGACTTTTCTACCGAGTCCAGGGATTCTCCTGCACACAGAGGGCTCTTTCCAGAAGCTTCTGCAGGCAGCTTCGCCCGCCCGCCAGTGTCCCCCAGTGTCCCCCATGGGGCCTGGGTCACCCCTGTCCTGCGCCTCACTTTGGATGCTTGCAGGCACCTGGCACTGCACCCCTTTTTCCTCTGTCGCCTGGGAGAGCTGGAATCTGAGCCCACAGTCCTGGTGGTCCTCTTGGTCCTCTTCTTGGATTCCCTCCTCCCTGTGCAGGCGGACTCCCAGAAGAAGGTGCTGTGTCTGCTGGCACCTCCAATAGTCCTAGTAAAGCCAGATCCAGAAATGCTCTGTCACTCTCCCCAAATTTCCACATGTTCACCAACCCAGAAGCTCTCCAAACCCAGTCCTTTTGGGTGTTCATGGATGCTTCCTTGCACAGTCATTATTGACTAAATCAATGAAAGATGAACCTCCAGTCGCTCTCTCCTCCCCAGAGGTGGAGTGGGATCGGGTGAATGTTCCAATTCCCTGATCACATGGTTGTTTCTCCCGTGGACTAGCCCTGCCCTTGGGTGGGGTCCAAAAGTCACCTTCATTAATAAGACACCCTTTTTACCTGTATGGCTCTGAAGAGTTTCAGGAACTGTGGATGAAAACTATAACTAAAGGGGCACCTGGGTGGCTCAGTCGTTAAGCATCTGCCTTCGGCTCAGGTCATGATCCCATGGTCCTGGGATCGAGCCCCGCATCGGGTTCCCCGCTCAGCGGGAAGCCTGTTTCTCCCTCTCCCACCCCACCTGCTTGTGTTCCTGCTCTCGCTGTGTCTCTGTCAAATAAATAAATAAATAAATAAATAAATAAATAAATAAATAAATAAATAAATAAATAAATAAAAACTATAACTAAGAAATATATATTTGATCATTCATATGACCCAGGGCCTGCAAGCATCTAAAGTGAGAGGCAGGACAAGGGTGACCCAGGCCCGATGGGGGACATTTGATCATTCAAATATATATTTCTTTCTTTTTTTTATTAAAAGATTTTATTTATTTATTTGACAGAGAGAGAGAGAGCACAAGCAGGCAGAGTGGCAGGCAGAGGGAGAGGGAGAAGCAGGCTTCCTGCGGAGCTGGGAGCCTGACGTGGGACTCAATCCCAGGACCCTAGGATCATGACCTGAGCCGAAGGCAGCCGCTTAACCGACTGAGCCACCCAGGCGCCCCGTCAAATATATATTTCTTATAAATCATTATATGGCAGCTATAAATCCTCACCTTGACTTGTATTCAGAATTGAGCCCAGTTCAATTGAGACTGAAGTCTAGTATCCCTGTTGCAATAGTTCCTGAAGAAATTCTGCTTTTACTACTTTACTGTATGGTTCTGTTTTTTGGTTTTGTTTTTGCTTTGTTTTGTTTTAACATAGGTAAGCATATGAATTAAGAAATAAATTCAGAAATAAATCAGGATAAAACAGTGTTGCTCCTGGATTGGAAACCCAGACTGGGAGGTGTTGTTTGAACCCGTGGCCCAGTACAGCATCTACCTAACTCCCTCCCCCAGCTTCCCCCGATGGTCTTGTATGGAGTGTTTTTCTCTCTCATCCTTGAACAAATAAACTTAGTCTCGCAAACTGAACTCTAAAGCTTCAGTCTACATATATTTGGGAAAAATCAAGATAACATCTATTAGTTCCCGACTAATCGGGAGCACACTTTTATCAGACTGACATTGCAGTATTTTGCGGCTTTGGAGGACATCTGAAATAAGGTCTCTAAACATTTGTGATCAGTTGTATACTACACTTCGTGGAAAAATCAGGGCGTCTCTTTACGAGGAATGAGATTCCTTTCAATTCTCAGAGCTTGGGGGCACCGTTTCTCAGCATGTAGCCCTTCCTTAGCCCTTGCCCAGGGGCCCGCAGTGGAGCTACTGACCAAGGCCCGTGACCTATGGGAACTACATTACCCATGTGCCCCTGCGCCGTGCTTCTGCAGCGCTGGGCCAATGAAGACCCGGCCCTGGAGAGACGCCTTTCCGAGCAGGCGGAAGTGCCTAGGCAGGACTTCCGATTTCTTCTGGAGGCGGTCATTTTTGTCACTCTTGAGCCTGGCCACCTGATGTAATACTTAAGTAGTTGGTGGAACCCAAGATAAAGTGAGCGGGAGACGCAGAAGTAGATGTGTCCCCACTGACAGAGGCGGTTCCGAGACTTGGTGAGAGTGCTGCTTGGGGTGACCCCGTGCGTTTGGCTGAGCCCGCAGCACTCGGGCCTGTTTCTTGGCGACTCGCCGCTTTGCCTCTCCGACGGGCCTTGATGGTTGTGTTTGCCCTGACGGACCCCGCGCAAGTTGGTGCTGCATCCTCCACACCGACACCCGTGGGAACTCCTGCCTCTGAATCCTAAAGACCCGAATGAGGAGTGCCCGCACGGTTCACTTTCAGTCTGGCCCTTTGTTTAGAACCTCGGCGCCTTCCTGGCGGAGGTGCCCATTTTAACCATCCACGGTGTGCTGAGGAGTGGAACGTATTACAGGCAGAGGAACTATCATATGCAGAGGCTTGGAAGTGAGATCGAGTGGAGTGCTCGGGAAACCTGGGGCCTGTCTCTTACATACAGGAAAACAGATTGGGAGTGGTGTGGCAGCCTGAGCAGTTGGGCCTTCATTCCGAGGGTGATGGTAGCCATGGAGAGTTGTGACTGAGAGACTTGATCTGAGGTAGGGTTTTAAAAGGTTCCCAAAGGCTGCTCGGTGTAGAACGGACCTGGCGGAGGGGTGAGGAGAGTGGAAGTGGGAAAAGCTGGAGAAAGCTCCTGCAAGAGAGTCTGGGAGCCCTACCGTGAGGCTAGACCAAAGCAGTAGCCAGAGGGCTGTCAGAGTAAAATGGCTGCTGGACAAAGTTAAAATGAGCAAAGAAGACCATTCAAGGCTATTGCAATAGGAGAGGGACTGAACTCAACTCCCCTGAAACAAAAGACAGGAGTGTTTTTAAGTGCTAGAGTGAGCCATTGAAAAAGTACTGGAGGACACCAGCCAGATGGGGAGGTTGGTCAGTGGAATCTATGGAGCACATGGAGTTACTCAGGAGTAACTCTTTTTGCAAATCTTTTTCTCTGTGATTAAGACATATGTGTTTTCTAATTGGTATCTATTGAAGTTAGGCTCCCACTCTCCCACAGAGACTGAGAGATAGGGATGGTGTCTCTTTTGATGTTTATATTTCAAAGAGATGGTTCCCAAATCCTTGAAAAAGTCATTTCTTGGGTTGTAAATTGGGCTGGGAGAAGATTTACATATATTTCAAGGGACAGAGAAAGAAATTACAATTGCGAGTTTCCTAAAGTAAATGCTCTAAGAAAAGGGAGGTAAGGGGCCTATAGTCAGGAAGAAACCTGAATAAAGTTTACTTAGGGTGAGGAAATGTTAAGGCTGGCTTGGTCAGGGGTAGAAATGATAGAATACAAGGTAGACTTTAAGGAAAGAGGACTATTTTAAGGAAGGAGGACTAGCATCCCTCCACCTGCCAAGGCCTAGCCCCCATACCCCCTATTTTTAACTTAATGAACTTAAGGAACACCATTTATTTTTTTAAATTAAGCAATCACTATTCCTCTGATTGTGTTCCTGTAGGTAGCCAATTAAAATTTTTTTTAAAGATTTTATTTATTTATTTGAGAGACAGAGAGTGAACACAAGCAGGGGGAGAGGCTGGCAGAGGGAGAAGGAGAAGCAGACTCCCCACTGAGCAGGGAGCTCGATGCAGGGCTCCATCCCAGGACCCTGGGATCATGACCCGAGCTGAAGGCAGATGCTTAACCAACTGAGCCACCCAGGTGCCCCTAATTAAGATTTTAAATGTATGGATTTAACAAGGTAAACTTATGAAAGCACTTAATATTTGGTTTACCCCTTAATATGTAACTAAGTGGTATACTAATATACTAAAATCAAGTCTTAAATATCATATTTTCTTAAATGCATAAAGGTAGCTGAAACACGTTCAAAATTTCAAAGTCTATCACTTAATTTGCGTTGAGAACACTGACAAAAGCCCTAATTCTTTGGATAGCGTACACTCAGCACTTAATATGTACTAATGTGTTTGATCCCAACGCCAGCCCTATGAGTGTGGTCCCCTTACTATCCCCATTTTGCAGAAGAAGACACTGAAGCACAGAGAGATTGAATTGTCCAAACTCACACAGCTAACGAGGTCAAACTAATGACAGGCTCATAAATTAGACATTTGGGTCAGTGATAAAGGTTTGGATGAACACTTGAGACCCTACCATGGATAGCTATCACTCACAGTCTTATTCTCACAGGGACCCATGGCTGCAGGAATGTTTGTAGACCATACACAGGTGAGTGGAGGGTATCTCAGGCCCTCACCCAACCCATTTTCACCCATATAGTCTCTGGGATTGTGGTGTCCCAGAATGCTGCACCTGTCGCCCCCATGGCTATTGGGACTAGGGCCCCTGGATTCCTTGAGACTCAGGGTCCTGGACCCACACCGGGGTTACATGAGGGGATTTCCATTTCTGACAACCAATAGAATGCTATTTAGGAGGTGTTATAGTCACAGAGATCAGCATTTGCAGATACTTGTAGGTGAAACTGAGTTGGCAGGATTCAGGGAACCGCACGTCTCCCATTATGTCTGGTGAAGAAATACAGGAATCGGGCCTAGAATGGCAGACGAAGGAACTGTGCCTGTATTCTGAGGAAGTTTGGAATGTTGGAAATTCAGAGTAGAGGAGGGAGGTGATCTGAATCAGGACTTAACAGACTTCCTCTGGCTTCAGACTGGAGAACAGAGAATAGGGGTGAGGGAGGAGGGTACTGAATAGTTCAGATGAGTATTGGTAGTGTCTGGATCAGGTTGTTGGTTGTAGAGGTGGGAAAAACTTAGGGCTTCTGGATTTGTTTGTAAAGTAGGTCTGACTGCTTTCTGTTACGGAGGATGAAAGAGAGAGGAGACAGGGATAACTCCAAGGGTTCTGGCTTTTGCAGCTGGAAGGCAAGAGATGCCATCAACTGAAATGTAGGATGTAGTCATTTGTAGGAGTAATTTTCAGAGGGAGTATCAGGAGTTCGGTTTGAACATGTTGAGTATGAGGAGTTCTAGGACTTCAAAGTGGAGGCACTGATGGACAACAAGATGCACACAAATCTGCATTTGAGTGTAGGGCTCAGGCTTAAGACACCACAAGGTGATGGCCTGTGTGGGGACCAGGGTTGAGCTGTGAATCACATTTAGGAGGGGACATCTTCAGGTCATGGTGGCAAAGGTGTCTTGGGCACCTGAATGGGGTTGGTGAGCATCACAAGGACAGATGAGGGAGAGTGGTGGCCATGGGAGAGAGGTGGGACTGGTAGGGGGCCGAGGCTTCCACAGGGGAATGGACATGAGATGGATGTGGAAGCACAACAGTGATGGGAATGAGATGACAGGGAGGCCAAGGCCAGTGCTTACTCAGCCCTCTAAGGGCTGGCCATCCTACTTCGGTGACCTTGTGGGGCTTGGAGGGTTTTACACAGGCTGGTAGATCAACCCAGGAGCAAACAGGAGAGTCACTGAAGGCCAGGGGACAGTGGGGTGGAGTGTTGGGTGAGGCTTGGCTGGAGAGAGGAAGGCTGAGACTGGTGAGGGGACAGTGTGTACAGCACACAGCCAAAGAGGCTTAAGGTGTTTGACCTCTTGCATGCGCTTCCAGGGGGCTGAGGCTGAAGCAGGAAAGGGCGTGGTGAAGAGGCCTTTAAAGCAGGACTAGGGGCTTCCTCTGCCAGTGTGGGCCACCCGAGGTCCAGGGCAGGATGGATCCTGATTGTATTTGCCAAACACTCTGGGTGCCAAGGGCAGAGTGGCATGTGGGATGGCTAGGAACATACTGTGGATGTGGGCTGGGACGGAGGAGGTGGCCATAATGGTGGGGGTCGGAGATGGGAGGGTGGTGTGGTCCATGGAGTGATGAGCTCAGTGGAGGGAGGGAGAACTGAGGGTCCCAGGGCCTTGCTCATAGCAGCTTAAGGGGGAAAGCTGAGCCCATGTTTGGTTGTGTCTGGGAGGCATGCTCTGGGAACCCCTGGGGAATTTGCTAGCAAGAGAGGAGGTGGGGCCTCTCATGTCACGCCCAGTGCTTGAATGACATTTGTTTATCTGCCTTCATGCCTGAGTGGGCATGATACAGGGTGACGAGTGATCAGTAGGAAAGAGGAGAGAGCTAGAATCAGTGGCATCTGGGCCTTGCATATCCTGTTAGTTTAGGAGCTGGGGGAGGGGGGGCAGGGAGTGGATGTTTGGGGGGTAGACTGAGGGTCCCAGTGAGAGGTGGCTCAGGGACACTGCTGTCCCCATGATGGTAGCCTGCTGTGACCTTTGAGCATGTGGCTATGGACTTGTCTCAGGAAGAGTGGAAGTTCCTTGATGGGACTCAGAGACTCCTGTGCCAGGATGTGATGCTAGAGAACTTTGCACTTGTGGCCTCACTGGGTAGGTCTCTCGCGCTCACCCCAGCATCTTTGACTGGGCTCTCTCCTTCCTCCTTTCTCAGGAGCTGCTCTTTCCTTCCCACAGCCAGACTATGGACACTGCTCCCCTAAATTTTCCTGTGTAGGTGCTGTGGGTGCCAGGCTGGGCAGAGTACATTTCCCCTTCTCCCCAAGCCCTTCAGCAGATGTGTAGGGAAGGATATGGGGGTAGGAAGTCTTTCGGTGAAACCAGTTGGTCCCACCAAACTCGGCCTCATTCTGGCAGAGTGACTGTCCAGATTCATTGCAACTCTGCCCCGGATTCTAGCCACTTCTCTCTAGCGGGCATTTCCTCGTGAAATTGCAGCCAGAAATTGCAGACACCAACATAGTCACTTCTCGTGGGGACCACTGGGCTATTCCTGTAAGACACTCCTCCAAGGTTCTTTGGTAATACTAGTTTTCTTTCCTGTGGTCTGTCATGGGGCGGGTTGCTCTGCATCAGGGCTGTCCACTCACTTGTCTTCCCTTTAGGACTTGCGTCTTCCCAGATATGCATAGTTGTCCAACTGGAGCTGCGGAGAGAGACATGGGTGCCTGACAGGGCAGCTGTGACTCCAGCCACAGCAAGAGGGCCCTGGGAGGGGGGTGGGGGGTTGATCCTGCTAAGTGGGAAGTAGGAGATGGCTCAGTGTCAGGGCCAAGTTCAGATCATACCAGGAACCTCTCCAGTGCCCATCATTGTATTCATACCAAGGACTAGGCATAACTCATTTCTGTCCTGTAGTCCCATTCTTGACATTTTGCCCTGTTATCCTTCCTCCTCTGACTTCTGGTCACCCATATCTGGTCTCCAAGTCTCCCCTGTTCCTCTCCACTGCTCCCTCTGAAGGGCTCTCCAACACTGAGCTGCACAAAATGGGTTGTGAGATGTGCACATATCCTAAGTGGTTCATGAATACCAGCTCCTCGGTTGCAGTCAGTTTCCCCAGGGTCTGAACACCCTTCTCATCACTCACGTGCCACCAGCAGACAAGCCCCTGCTGAAAGCCATCTGTGGAGAAGTGAGTTGGAGACCCAGCCTCTCCCTCCTTGTGCTGCATCCCATCACTGTGTCCTTGCTCACGGTAGAGCTCCCCGTGGAATGTTCTTCATTGTATGGGCCTGCAGGCTCAGTACTGCACCACAGACCCTCCTCACCCTAACTTCAGCCCCTTGTTGCCCGACCTGTGTGCTCATTCTTG